TGGAGTCCCAAGCCAGACGCCCATCATACCATTCGCCCCCCTTCAGGAGCATGCCTCTGGTTGCCTCCAAGTCCTCTGAGATGTCCAAGAAGTCCTCGCGCTGCTTGAGCAGCTCGGGGCAGTCATAGAGCACGCGGCCCCAAATACCCTGAGACTGGGCCCCACAAGCAGCACACGGCCTGATTGGTACCTTATGGCGGGCATCTTGGAGCTGAGGGATGGGGAGGTTTCCCGACCAGTGCGCTTGGAGGGCCCCGAGTCTGCGAACGCACTTGATGCTCTTCACCGAGTTCCGTAAGCCTCGGTGCCATATCTGCTCGCCAGGCTCAGCAGTATAAAAATGCTTGAGCAGCCGCTCGTCCTGCCAACGCTGGATCCCCTGAGTGAGGAAGACCTTCAGGTCGGCGGGGCACATAACTCGCAAATCAAAAACGTTGCCTACATCATCAGCCACCATATGACTAGATACTAGATTCCACCCAATACGTCGTAAGGTCAGCCAACAGGCCCCGATCGGGCCCCGAGTATTTGCCCAAGACAGAGTGCCAATCTTATCTCGAAGAGCCTCCCGAGCCCGATGTAAGCGACTGTCGGGTATTCTCCTGTCCCAGACCCACTCCGCAAACTTGATGACAATGGCTAGAGTGGCGTGGTAAATAGGATCGTAGAAATCGCTCTTGTGGCTAACCAAGTAGGCGGTCACACCAGTATTAAACTTACCTGGCGCGCCGTTCAAGACGGCGGCGAAAAGACGCAACTCTCGCAGCGCAACGTCGCTTACTCCAGCAACTGCAGCACCGTGCGCCACTGATGGGAGGGCGCCTGTGCGCCACAGAGCCGTCGCGACCTTGCCGACAGCAGACTTCAGCATGGAAAACCTCGCCTTCCTCTCTCTGAGCTGTTTGAGACGCTTCTTTTCCATGCCTCGAATCACCTTGGGCCCCGTGAGCTCGTGACCTAGGTTCCTCATGTGGCCTTTGTACGGGATCTTCATGGAGCCCATGTGGCGCTGCACCCCCTTCCAGAACTTCCGAAAACCAACAACAGCCCCAGACTTGGAAGCCTTCAAGATCATGCCGAGGCCCTTGGAGTCCTGGATGAAACCCCTCGCCGCCAGCGCAAGGTACTTGGCCTCCGTGGGGTCCTGGGAGGTATGTTGGAGCCCAATGTCGTCCATGAGCGTTCTCGGGGTCACCGTGGGGGAGACCTTCGAGACCCTCTGCACCGACCTATAGGTAAGCAAGTACAAGACGTACGTAGCGTGAGTACACCCAGCTAGGATCCCCTGGAAGGACCGAAACCCTCTGGATACACTCCCAAAGGCCCTTATACGACGGGGCTGTTGGTAGCTCTGAATGAGGAGCCACAGCAAACGTAGTGGAAACCCCAGAGCCTGGCCTTCTCGGAGCAACGCATGTGGGTCCACCATGTCGTAACACTTGCTCATATCAAGCAAGATCGTACAGGAGGAGGAGGAGGAGGAGGAGGAGGAGGGGGAGCAGAAGGAGGAGGAGGAGGAGGAGGGGGAGGAGGAGGGGGAGGAGGAGGAGGAGGAGGAGGAGGGGGGGGAGGAGGAGGAGGAGGAGGAGGAGGAGGAGGAGGAGGAGGAGGAGGGAGGAGGAGGAGGAAAACGAAAGAACATCGCATTGAATCATCATCATTCGCCTTGCGTGGGGCGGGGGGCGGAGCGGGCGCGGCCCGGCGGCGCACGCCCGCCAGGCTGCGCGCCTCCTCGGGGCGCAGCCAAGTCGGGGGCGGCGACAGGGGCAGGCAACCGAAAGGGCGGGCGTTACAGGTACCCTGAGATCCTGCGACGAACCGGGCGTTTTCGCCTCTCTTTTCAGGTCCGGGGACCCTCACAGATCGATCCGGCTCGAGAAATGGCGCAAAACGATGGGGTCCGGGGCTCCCGGCGCGGACTTTCACGATGTTGTCTTTCTGTTCGCTACGTCGGATCTCAGGGTACACGTATTCGCCCGGGGAGCCTCACTGCCGTCGGCGCCCCTGGATGCATGTACTGCTCCCCCCTGGGCTATACGCCCCTAACGTCGCCTCCGAGCCAGATCCACTGCGACGGGGACGTGCCTCAGGGACTCCGAAGCTTGGCGGTGCGCACAAAGGGGGTGGAGGGAGGGGGGAGGCCTCCTTAGGAGGAGGCTGCTTCTTAGCAGGCGCCAGCCTTGCACCTAGAGATGAGGCTCGCGCCTTCTGAGAAGCAGGGGTGCTTCTGAGAAGCCCTCCCCCCTTCCCCCACCCCGCCCTGTGCCCGTGGCTCAGATGCGGTGGGTGCGGACATCTCCTGGCGGCGGACGTGAGCATTCCAGCAGCGCGGCTCCGACCGACAGACTGGCTGCCTGGCCTCGCCTCGGGCCCCCGCGGCTCCTGCGGGCCTCCAGCTCGGGGGGGCTGCCACAGGTGCCCCCTGGCCCGAGGTGCCCCCAGCTTCTCTTAGGTCGGGCCTGTCTCCCTACAGGGGGATTTTATGCGAAAGGTGGAGAGCTTAAAAAAAACAAACACACAAAAAAAAATCAAAAAATAGTCCCCCGACTATGTTTTTACTATTTTTGAGTCTTCCTCCTGTAGAGGGACAGGCCCGACGTAAAGCTTCTCGCTCGACTCTGGAGCCCCACAGGGGCCCTCTGGGCCTCGCGAGGGCTGGCGTGGAGGCTGCAGGGGACTCCTCGGAGATCCTGGGGGGGCACCTCGGGCCAGGGGCACTTCCAGTAGCACCCGACCAGAGGGGGGCCATCTCGCAGAGGCTGCCCTGGAGGCTGCGGGGGACTCCTCTCGGAAGCCCGGCAAGGGCTGCTAAATCCGTGGCTGCTAAAGTCGACCTCCGGGAAGGTGTCTTCGTCCTTCCAGGAAGAAGCCCGTTGACTGTTTCGCGTGCCGCGCCTCATGCCGGGAAGTTGCCTTTTCCTTCCGGGAGGGCCGTTTTAGCAACCACGGTTTTAGCAGCCCTCGATCCTGGGGGTGCACCTCGGGCCAGGGGCACTTCTAGCAACACCCGACCAGAGGGGGGTCCTCTGGAGACCTCCAGGGGCCTCCGGGGACCTCCGGAGACGGCCGAGGCCTCGGAGGCTGGGCCCTGTCACGCCTGGAAGGCCTCGCCGCGCAGCGAGGGCGCACGGGTCACGAGGCGAGCTGCGGCAGT